CCGTCGATGGGAAAGGCATCCAGATGTGCGATGATTGAAGCCGCCTGCTCATGAGCCCATCCGCGCGCGGCCATTTCCCTTTCCGAGGCCTGCAGGAGGTGGGACTCGCAGACCCCACAGTCGACTACCCGTGCCCGCGGCGTTTTCGTGCAGCGTGAGACTTCTTGAGCTCCCGGCCCGCGGAGTTGTATTGTTGTGTGGGGGGGCGTCTGAGGTCAGGGGTGTTTGGGAGTCGAGGCTGCCTGTTCTGACACAGAGCACGGGCCAGCATCTTTTCGCAGAAGAGGCCCGTCGAGTTTTCGTCTCTAGACCCCAAGCCAGGCCAATAGGGCGCGGACGGAGGAACTGGGGAATCTCCTAGCTCTAAGTGTGTCTCCTGCTGCGGAAGAGCAGTGCCTCTGGCTCCCGAGCCGAGAGGCTACCGCCTCATTTGGCGATCGTTGGGCCTGCGCGTGACCCTCCTGCGGGAGAGACCCATGAGGAGGCCACCTTCTGAGAGCACCCGGATCCAACTGTTTGCGCTGCGTCACATATAGCACACTCTTGGATCCCATGGTCTTGGCTTGTGTGTTTACTTGCTTGCCATCCCCCTCCGTTCGTCGTCCCAAATCCAGGCATGCTCCCATCCGCGGACGACTTCTGTGGACCGTACCGCGTTGGCTTCTCCCGAGGCTCCGTGCATCGCCGGCCCAGGAGCGGCATAGTGCATAGTTGTTCGGCCGTCAGAGCCGAACCAACTGCGCAGCACCGCGCCGGAGCTGGGCATGAAGGGGGTCCAAGCCTGAAGCGGTGCATGGGCGCCGTTCTCGTATCCCTCCGCCTGGATCCAGACCCCGACGGTGTGATTTTGGAGAACGTCGACCCCCAGAGGTCTCGACCATTTCCCCGGGGCCGGTGTTGCACCCCGAGTCTGCTTTGGACGATCTGGGGACCCGGTCCGGGCCCCCGGGAACCACGAGTTACAACGGCCGCCCGTAGTATTTTTTCACGACGCGAGGGGGTCTGGGCTCTCATCCTGCCTCCTGGGGGGAGGAGAGCCAGCAGGCACTGGAGTTGAGGAAGTCGATTAATCGAGAGGAAGCATGCTGCCAAATAATTCCCAGATGTTTAAAGTATCGTTCAAACATGTTTCCAATATGTAAAACACATGTTCGAAACACCTTCAGAGCATGCTTTGCACATTGTAAACGCCTTTTTAGGTCAATGTTAGGAGTCTTCGAGTGTCCATTGCCGTGGCATCCACAACACTGGAGGCAGGAGCCAGCAGGCGCTGGAGACGACCGACGACGAAGGGAGAAAGAGACGGGGCGCGCGCGCGGCCGCCGTGCCGAGGCCCGGCGGGAGGCGGAGCAGGAGCAGCGCCAGGCGGGCGCGCGGGGGGCGTCCAAGAGGGGGGCGAAGACCTGACGAGTGGGAGGAGGAGGGGGAGGAGGAGGAGGAGGAGGAGGAGGAGAAGGAGGAGGAGGAGGAGAAGGACGAGTGGGAGGAGGAGGAGGAGGAGGATTAAGGAGCGGGCTGACCGAACAACACGCTGGCGGCGCAAGCGTGAAAGGAGGCGACCTGCTCATCCGCCCTAGCAATCCATCTCCCCGTCAATCCCACAAACTTCCTCTGAGTGGCGACGAACCGCAGGGAATGCGGACACGGACGCAACACGCGGAGCCTCCTTCCTTGGAGCAGAGGACCGTAGAGGCCCAAGTCTGATTGCATGCCGCAGGGTCCAGGTGCCACCCGATGGTTTTTGTGTTGTTGGTCTGAAGTTTGTCGTTTGCTGCATGAGCTGTTCTGCGTTCATCGCCTCACGTCTCGTGTCATTGGCAGCTGAGTGCAAGCCCCAACGATTGTCGAAGGACCGCAGGCGGATTCTTGATCGCCTCAAGCACAGCGGGTTAAGGTGGAATGGTGCGTGGCAACGAGTTTCTGACTTCCGCCCGTTGCCCTTGCGTTCCGAATACTTGGACTGCGTGGAGCCAGCGTTCGCCCACGTGCGAGCCAGTGCCAATGCTCTAGCCTCAGGCCCCATCTAGTGTGCTGCCGCTTGCCCGTTTCTGGCTGGAGCTCGTGGAACTAGCGCTCCCAAAGGTGCACGCCAGTGCCTGTGCCCTTGTTTCTCGAGGCCCAAGATGCCCGCACTCGGTCTGTCCTGGCTCCGTTCGTTCTGGTCTGGCTGTCGTCGGTGGTGTTCCGTGTGTTTGCCACCGCGGGTCGGGCCTCTCGAATGCGACGACGCGTGTTGGCAGACCGTGTGCACCAGAGATTTCGCGTGATGTCTCGGGGTCCTTCAGCGCGCACAGCGGCGACAGCGGCCCTGATCAAAGGGGAGTGCGCCACCTGCTTCTTCGCGCCGCTGACGGTGGACGGACCCTGTCCGCCGCAAGGTTGTGCCCAGGAGGAGGAGAAGGAGGAGAAGGAGGAGGAGGAGGAGGAGAATCATCACGTGGTTGGGGGGCGGAATTCGCCCACCCTATTGGCCGATGCCGCTCTGCGATGACTGGCCTGCGTGCTGACGATGAAGATAATCCGCCAGCCTTTCTGGAGGGCACCACGTACGCTTCCCGACCCCCCCCCCTGTTCCCACGAATGACGGAAGTGAGGGGAGTTTCCGGGGCGAGAGGGCAGGGGAGATCGCAGGCGCTCTGCGTGTACAGGGACAGGCAGCGCATTCGCTTTGCCACGAGCGCCGGAGGCTTTGTTGATCGTGCGTGGCCCCACGGGCCCCCTGTCACTCAAAGCGTCGGCAACTTGCACATGCAGTTTCTTGAGAACCCCAGCGTTGCCCTCAGCCGCCTCCTACTTCTGAGGTCGACTGCCGATGTAAATTCCGGGTTTCCTCTTGGCATACTTGTCGGCGGCATCGGCACCTGTGGCGTCGAGCCGCTCAGCCCATCCGTGCCTGAGCCTGGAGAGGTCTTGCTGTATTTGGTATTAGTTTCCCGCACCTCAGGTTATCATGCAATCGCGCGCTGCCCTGCGAGGCGATCGCGAGTCCTACACGCATGCACATATACTATTACTTGTAGTACTGACTGCACTGGTACACATCCAGAACCCTGTGACTATCTGGGATTATTTGCGCGCTAGAACGAGAAGGGAAGAGGAGGCAGCAGCAATGTGCCCATTGTCGGCGGAGGTTTTGAGGGGGGGGGGTACGGCCCACGGGGCCATGCAGAGCTCCTTCGAATTTACCTTGATTCTTAACCACAACGGCAGCGAGCAAGGGGATTGTGGAGCATGCGGCTTGCTATACCATTATTGTACATTTCGCACTCTCGCCTCGGCGCCGCGCACGTTTTTTTCAAAAACGGTATTCTCTTCGGCGCCGCGTGCATTTTTTGGGCCATTTTATTTGCTTTCTTCGTCTCTGTGCGTTCCGTTCGTCTGTGTGTAGGAGGAAGACGAGGGAGTATGAGGGCCGGCCTTGTTTCATCACATGACCGCTCGAAACGCACCCCTCGTTTAATCTCGATCGTGCCGCATACTATTAGGAATCATCTTTCAACCTGAAGACCCCCGTGCCCGCGCGTTCAAAACGTCATGGCCCGACTAGCTCCCGACTGGTACCCGAGTATCGACTAGCACTAGCACCCGACTAGCACCCAACATTGGCCCGTCTAGCACCCGTAGTGGCCGACCGTCATGCCGCTGGACACGACGGCAGCCACCGGCGGAAGGTAGTCCGCTCGGCGCTCGGCAATGTACTGGCTGTGGTGCTTACAAATGTACAAGACCATGAACTTGTGCCGCAGAGGCGGCATCTCGTTCAGAATGCGCGAGCACCCCTTGAACCAGCTGAAAGGCTGCTCTGCCGCCTGCGTGGTCACGCCTTTCAGCCTGAGCTTCAGCCTGCGGATGTGGTACGGATTGTGCGGGCAAGTGTCCGAGTGCCTCTTGGCGTGCATCCAGTCCACGGTCCAATACTTGATGGACTTGAGCGCGACGAATTTTTGGGCAGACCGGATGAAGGAACAGCAACGGTCAGACGCGAAACTGTCGACCTTGGGGTGGTGGAGGACAGCTCTCTGGAGCGCCGCGGCAACGACGCCGTTGCCTTCGGGCACCGCCCGCTCGATCGCGGTGACGATGCGCCCCTGCGGCGTGACGACCATGAACCACCCGAAATTGTGGTGCTGGCCGCGGGGGGGCTTGCGTTTGTACCCCAGCGTCGTGGTGGCATTGCCTCCATGCGTCGCTGCGCCCTTCCTCCTGAAGACACGTTTTTCAGGAAGACTTCCCGCGCCTTCTTCATCGGCGCCTTGACCGGGGAAGACGCAATCGTGCAGGTGCGCGTCGAATTTCTGGAGCGCGGCTGCGCTCATCCCCTCGCCGATGACGACCTGCAGATGCTCCCCAACCGCTTCCACCGCTTGCACTGCGAGCAGATATAAAATGTCATCCAGGTGCAGCCGTCTGTGATCGCGCAAGAACTCCCCGCCGTAGCCGTGCTGGGATTTGTCGGCAAAGGTTTCCTTCATCACCCAGTCAGTGCCCGCTGCCGAGGTGCACAGCCTGAACATGGCCTTCTCGTGGTACCTCAGGTATTGCAAATGCTGACGAAGACGGCGCCGACCCTCTCGAAGTCGTCCAGCGAAGCGGCGATGACTTTCTTGCCGTTGCCCTCGCGAAGCTAGGGCCGTAGGTTCGCATGCAGTTCCTGCCCTGGCACCTCCACTGTCGAACGGAGATCTCCTTGGTGCAATTCAAATCGTTGAGGGTGCAAGCCGCGTCCGGGCGCAAGGCCACCCCCGTCCGGGCGACGAGCTTGCAGTTGCAGCGCGCGCAGTTCCACAGATGGGTTTCAAAACGGGCCATCTGCATCGATGTCTTGTTGGGGGCCAGGCCCTGGCTTGTCGAGGTAGCCCGCGCCCGCCATGATGGTGGAAACGCGCCGCCAGCGTCGGGCGTCGGGGGCGAGGGGGCGAGGCCGCGAACAGCGATCTAGCCAAGGCGGCTACCGCGGGCCAGCAACGGAAACGTCCAACTACAGGACGCTGCACGAGCCGATGGCTTTGCGCCCGCAGAATTTGGTTCCCAAGTGCTATGCGCATTGATGCGAATGATGCGTCATTGAATGATTTGGCGGGCAGCATGGCAGGCGGTCCAAAAACGCACCCCGACTGCGCCCGCGACATCCCGCCGTGGCGAGGGATCGCAGAGAAGACGCGTCGCCGCGGCGCTCCTGCGCCACCCGCCCCGACACATCGCAGCTCAAGGGCGGGGCCCGAAGGGCGGCCCGCCGTGCCCGCGGTTTTTGGCATGCGCGGGATCGGCGGTCATGAACGCCAGTTGCCGGTGGGCAGGCAAGCCCAAAATTGCAGGCGCCTTTCTTTCCATGCACTTCCACGTGGTTGCCCAACCAACAGTATCCGCCCATGCAGCGTTGTTCTCAGTGGCGAGGACAAGGTCGGCCACGCGAGCCTCAGCACCCGCGCGCGCATGCCGCGACGAGCCGCCTTCTCGAAAACGAGGGCGCTGGATCAGGGCACAAAGCGTGGAGGATCCAGGGTCTGTGCGCCATTGGAACTGCAAACCTGGATCGTCCGATCGGTCGACGACCTGGAAGAAATCAGTCGGTCGGCCTACTTCCTACAGCCGATCGGTCGGTCAGTCACAGAGCGCGCGCTCAGACGCTGCGTGGGGCGCAGGGCGATCATGCCCGATGAAATGCACCGTCGCCCTAAGGGCGAATGATGATCGGGGGCGTGTTCGGGCCCGCTGGCAACCAGGGCGGGCCAGCGAACTCCGCCGCGACGAACTGCCGCAAGCTCCTGCGGAAGTGCTTGGAGCTTGGCCACCCGTCGACGGAGATGCACAGGCGGTCATCGGGGGAGGGGCGAGCCAAACCAGACGCGGGGCCACGACGGTTCTGGCATCGATGTGTTTCGAACAACCAGTCCTCCCCAGCCTGCAGGCGATGGGCCTGATTTGCGCTCGGCTCCCACCGAAACGAAACTGGCGGCGTTGGCGCGCCTGGGCGAGAACCGAGCAAGAACGCAAACTCGAAAGCCACTGCCGCGAGGGGTGGGCCGCAAGAGAGACAAACCGATGCTTGCGGGGCAGCTCCAGCCCGAACTGCGAAAGACGCAAAGCCGCGGCAGCGGCGACGGCAGCGACGGCGGCGACGGCGGCGAAAGATGCCCGAGCAGCAACGGCAGCGGTGGCGGTGAAAGATGGCGATGGAGATGCGCGGGAGCGAGCATAGCGACAGCGTTTGTGCTTGAAAAACCATATGTTCATATGGGGGCTGGAAGCGGCGCGCTGGAGGCCCGTCTGGGGCTCGGCTGCGTGCGACGCTGCCCGAGCACGCGCGCGCCGCTCAATCCATGCCGCCCCCCAGGAAAGCGATGGCCTCCGCGCCCTCCCCCTTGGAGACCCTGGGAGGCAATGGAGGGCCTTCCCCCGTGGATCTCACGCGCCAGGGTCAGCGGCGCACTCGGCGACGGGGAGGAGGAGGGAGAGGGGGCGGAGGAGGAGGATAGGGAGGAGGAGGAGGAGGAGGAGGAGGAGGAGGAGGAGGAGGAGGAGGACCCCATACTCAACAAACCCCTGTCCTCTGAAATTCGGGGCGGCCTTGCTTGTGGGAGCATCCGCCCGTCGAAGGATTGCGTTTGGATACCGGCTGGGGCGTGGGGACCCTTTGCTTGCTCGAGAATTTGGTAGTTTTGAAAGGTGTTCCAGAGGCCCTCAGGAGGGCTGACCGAACAAAAACCGCTTGTCCAGGAAGCCATCGCGCTCAAGTTGGGACAACTCATCTCGAAGGGTCTCAGTCATCGGGCTGCTCCCTAGTCTCTGACGTTGGCAATCGCGAGGGCGCTTGCATTGTCGCTGCGGTTATGCAGCCAATCCTGCCTACTGCCACCGCGACGCGGTCTCAACAAAGTGCTGAGACCACACCGCCGAGAGCCAATGCTGGAGGAGAGCTGGCGAGGTAGTTGTGCGGATCTCCTGCTGCCCATGCTGATCTGCCATGGCGGGCGCAGGGCGGCTTCTCCGAACGGGCCACGACGCTGACTCCATCTTGCTGGCGGCGAGTTTAAAACTGCGGCTGCCATGAGGAGAATAGCTGGGTGATTCTATCCTAGGGAGCGGTGTTTTATTATCGCTCCCCCGCGCTCGGATAGCCCAAAAAAGGCTAGGGCCCGCCCTGGGCCTTCAGCCGCGGATCCCAAGAAGGCATGCTGATAGTCTGGGTGGTCGCGCAGTAGCACCTGGACGTGCAATCTGCAAAGCAGCGCGCGAAATGGTTGCAAGTCCACATCATCCAAACCAACCGCCTTCGATCCGCATAAGTGCGCCGGACTCAAGCCCGCGTTGTGCAGTTCTCAACGCGATAGCGCCTGCTCGATGTAGGGCCCCCATATCGAGGGCCCGATCTTGGATCGCATTTTCGAAGGAAAAAGCAGCACATAAACATAAGTGTAGAAGCGTGAATTCAATTTTCTCGAGGACGTTCCAAGTCCCACTTTCTGCCTTCTTGGGCCCGGGAGCCAGGGCGCGCGTCGCATCCGTGATTTTCCACATAAGCTGCGTGAGAGCGCATCCGCGTAAGACTGTGCGCGGCTGTCATTTCCAGTCGGGGCGTCGTCGTGGTTCATGCATCGTCGCCCCTCGCAGCGAATGGCATTTCGCCCGCGGATGAATTTTGGGAGGTGCGAAGCGGGTCCAGGAACGGGCCGCCGCCCCCGTTAGAGCACATGCTTGAACCTTTGTAGCAGACCGTTCTTTAACCCGCCCGCGGCAGCTTCCAAGTGAAACAGAGGAGGGGCATCGGCGCATGCAGGAGGCAGAGGGAGGGCCCAGGGAAGGGGACTGGAGGGAATGACCCATTCGGTGGGGCGGATCCCGCTTGGCCAAACGCAGTGCTGTCTTGGGCGCGGCTGCTCTGCCAGACGGCTCGGGCGCGCGGCTCACGCCCCGGGCGACCCTGAAGTTCTCGTCAGTTGTTTGGGAAATCCGCTTCAAAATGTTTGCGCTGCGTTTCCGCGTGACTCTTTCGATGTTCCGCGACAGGAAGTTTTCAAGTTTTCGCGCGGCATAAACTTTTCTGGGCGGGGAAATCTGACTGCGAGGCTCCGTTGCGTTATTTTTTTGTACTTTTCGCGCAACAAAATTTTTGGGCTGCCCGGTTTCGGGGGAAAGCATTTGCATCCAAAATGGACGCGTCCATCTTGCCACTGGCCACTGCTGGCCCAAGTGGACCGGTCGCAGGAAAACGCGTTTTCGACGGCAGGACTGCCGAACCGACCCGTAAAACAGCGCCGCGCTGAGGAGGGGCCTTTCGCAAGCGAAAGGCACATGGACTTCGCGCGCTATTCGAGAGGCCGCTCGGGAAGGCACCTGCCCCAGGGTTGCGAGCGCAGGGCCCCCGGAAGCTTCGTGCCCTGATTCTTTTGCCCTCCCGCCATAATAATTGTTTTCTCCTCCTGAGAAGCATGATCCATTGATAATGGTAGTTCTCAAAAATTCCAGGTTTGCCTGTTCTTCCGCGCGGGTTCCGGGGGCGAATGGTCGAGCGCATTCCGTCGCGCAGGTTGTTTGCGCGATGCGCGCGGTGCATTTAGCGCGCATGGGAGCGCACCTGGAGATTCCACGCTACATTATGTTTTCCTCTCGGGGAGTTCCCGAGGCGCAGCTGCCGTGGCGCGATTTTCGCGGCGACCCGCCCGAGTGCCGTTCGCGGGCGTAGGGCGCGGAGCGCGGTGCGCCCAATCGCACGCGGCGCGGCGCGTGAATCAGCCAGCTGCGCCTTTCGGACCCCCCGGGGATTCCGGATTATGGAATGTTTGAGAGAAGAAACGCCTCCGTTGTTCGGCAAAAGCGTTTCCGGAAATTTGCAGAAAAGGGGTCCAACAATTTTCAAATCAAAAAACGAGTCTTGGGGGGTTGAATGCGCCCGCCGCGCCGGACATCTGAAGAAGTCCGAAATCCGGGCTGGGTCCGAATGGATTCTGCAATTTTGCAAAAATCGATTCGGGTATTTCTCACGCTTGATTCTTGGATTTCTCAAAAAGTAGGCCGGACAATGTCAAACAAAACGTTCCCATAATTTTTCAAATCTGCGCCGGAGAATTCTCCAGAGTCGCGCGTGACTTGTTTCACAAAGTTTTTGGGAATCCGCCTGGGCGCGCAGTGCGCGGCGGCGGGCGACGGGGCGGTGCGCCACCGCCTCACCCGCGCTCGGCAACGAGAAGGGGGAGTAGCACGTGCCAAATAGCCCCCTACGGGCGATTACTCGATTGCGAATGGGGCCCAGACGCCGATGGGGGTCTACGCAATGCACCTGCACCAGGAAGGTAGCGAAACTGAACCCTGTTGGCATGCCGAAGAGAGGGGGCTTGCAAAGAACATCTGATACATAGAAGGCAATCATCCGCTGCCCCTGGCACGGTTTAAGAATAATTGTCAAGATAGATCCGTTGAAACCTGTTTTCGACGCTCTCTCTCTCTCTCTCTCTCTCTCTGTGCTTGTTGTTTATGTTATCTCTCTCGCTCTCTCTCTCTCTCTCTCTTTCTCTCTCTGTATCTATCTATTGTTGTTTATCTTTGCGTGTCTTTCGATATCCTTTTCTCCATTGTTTGTTATCTCTCTCTCTCTCTCTCTTTCTGTCTCTCTTTCTCTCTCCCTCTCTCTCTCTCTCTCTCTCCCCCTTGGAGAACCATTCTGGCAACATGCTCACGGTAGTTAGAGGGAGCCCACGCGATGGAGGCGGCGAGGGAGGAGGTGTCCCGAATTGCGCTGCCTGCAGCGCCCGCAGGAACACTAATTAGCTCGGGAATGGATCTGCCCGGCTGGTGGGCCAAAAACTGTGCCTGCGATTGCAGTCCCATGTCCCCGCCTCTTCCTGCCAGATCCTGGCCCAGATCCTACGCGCGCTCGGCATGAGTCGTTTTTTGTTTTTCTGCGCGCTGGAGAGTCACCCGGCTGTTTGTGCTTCGGGACGAGCGCTGTGAATTTGACCAATAGTTGCGACGGCATGCTGCCCTTTCGTTGAGCGATGGACCAGGGCCCGCAGACCTGCTCCTGCTGCTGAAAATGGAAATCAAGCAACGTGCCTCGGGCGAACTCCAACCCAAGTCTCTGCCTTGCTGTCGCTTATACAGTCTTGGTAGATCTGCGTAACATATGAAGGCGATCGGAGGAAGAGCCCCAGCGACACAGAATTAACAACGAGCTTCTCATGGGGATACCCTCGGGAGTCCCAGATCCTGATGACGCGGCGGGCTTCTGCGTGCAGCAATTCAGTGGGTCAACCTGAGCAAACCCAATTTGCTTTCGCAACATGGCCAAGTTTTCAGCGTTGTTCATGCTTCCACCATCTGTGGGCAAATCCCGCCCAATACGCCATTATGTCTTTCACCCATTGTTTCTAAAGAGTGATGCTGACCCATTGTTTCCCCCAGCCGTTGTGGAGGCCCTTCGGGGAACGCGTGGGGGAGGAAGAGGGGGATAAGGAGAGAGAGGGGACAGGAGGATGATGAGAAAGATGAGGAGACCTCTTTGGAGCTTCTTGGGTAATTCTCTGGGCCTCCTGGGAGCTGCCTGGGGGCCTCTTGTAGGCTCCTCTTGGGTCTTTCTGTTGGGCGGTCGTGGCTCCGAAAGGGTCATGCGGCAAGCGCCGGGGAACCGCGGGAGGCCCACTTGGAACGCCAGAGCAGACCTGAGAATTTGGTGTCCGGGCCCTTTTTGTGTTCAATCTTGATGACTGAGGGTTGAGGACTGCAGGTGGCCTGAGGGCACCCCAGCGTGTGCCTCGGGGCAAGGCGGTGGATGTCTGCATGCAGGGTGAGGTGGATGAGAAGGCGGGAGAGGGGGGGGACGCGGAGAGAGGGAGGAGGCGGACCGCGCGCGCACATCTCTGGATAATGATCATAATCATCCCCACCGTCCCCCCTCACGGACCGGGTGGGCGCACACTCTCTGCCGGAGCGGGCCTTTACGTTCTTCTTTTGTCTCCTTTTGCTTGGCCCGCTCTTGCTGCGCCCTTCGTGGTCCTGTGTGTAGTCCACCGCACCTCAGTCCTGGCCGACCGCGCCACGGCGCGACACGCTATCCGCTTCCCCGTCCCCAGGCGACGAGGTCTCGAGCTTTGCCCGAGCCTCCCGCCCCGCGCAGCGGAGTGACACGCCATCCGCTCGCAAGGCACAGCGTGTCGCCGGAGCCGCCGGGGCGACACGCTATCCAAAAGTTCCCGACCGCAGTCCTCGGCATTCTTCTGATGCAACTCCTGGGAGGTCAAATTCTGATTTTGCCCTGGTCCGAGATCCGGCTTGATCCGGCTTAGTCCCAATGAATCCCGCTGAATCCCGCTTAATCCGAGGCCCACTCCGGAGTGACAGCTCCCACATGGGGCTCAATCCTCCTCAATCTTTCCGACGGAAACCTCCCACTCTTCCTGCAGAGCATTATCTCCGACTCTTCCTGCAGAGCGCGGCGAGCTTGCCGCGCCGCCCGCCGCGGAGGCCCGCCGGCAGGCGGAGGAGGAGGAGGCGGCCCGGCAGGAGGCCCAGCGGTGCGCCGAGCGGGCGGCGCGCGAGTCGCGGGAGCTCGCGGCGCGGCAGGCCCGCGCGGCGTCGTCGTCGTCGCGTCGGCGTCGTCGTCGTCGTCGCCGTCGTCGTCGTCGTCGTCGTCGTTCGTCGGGCGTCTTCGTCGTCGTCGTCGCCGTCGCAGCTAAAACCTCACAGATGGGGTCCGAGGAGATGGGGTCGGAGGAGGATCGCTCCGCATCGTCGCTGCGTCGCCGGTGCGGCTCGGTGTGGAGCCCGAGTTTCTCCACGCCGGCGGCGAGATGCATGTCCCGTATCGCCGATGCGTCGCCGATGTATCGCAAATGCATCGCCGATGCATCGGCCATGTATCGACGATGCGGTGCGATCTTCCGACCCCTTCTACCCGGACCCCATCTACAGGCTCGGACAGGTTGTCTCGTAATGCCGCCACACGCGCCCATGCAGATTCACAGCGTGTTGGGAATGTCCCTCACCCGGGCGACCCGTCATTTTGTAGCGCAGCCGTGCTATGTGTGGAACGAAGGGCTTCATTGCGCACAGTGCCGTTACTTCGGTTTTCACGCACCCACCACAAGCGGGACCGGGCCGAAGCCAGGCCAAACCAAGGCAAAACAGGCAACATGTGAGGACGTCTCCATCGAAACCGCGCCCAAATCAGGCTAAAGGAGGCGCCGGAGCAGGCAGATATTGAGGATGTCTTAGGCGGGGCGCCCGGCCAAGCCAGGCCACCACATGGGCCAAACCGGGCAGATCCCGAGGACGTCTCAAGCGGGGCGCGCAGCCAAACCAGGCCAAAGCAGGGGCCAAAGCGGGGGCCTCACCAGGCAGATTCCGAGGACGTCCTGAGCAGAATCGCCCAATCCAGGCTCCGTCAATTCTACTCTCCACTCGTTTAAACTAGATATCAGAAACCGACCTAGTTTAGCCGAGACCTAGTTTCACCGATTCTATTTTTCACGAGCGGAGTATATTCAGTCGAATTCGAATCAAAGGAGTGAGTCACCCCACGGGGCCGCCTGCAGGCGGAAGCCCGTTTGGAGTATTGTTGGCGGCGGCGTCTGGACCGCGCGTCCGCTAATGCGGACGGGCTTGGGTCCGGATGCCTTCCTTTGTCTTTCGGTGGTTGTTGTTGGGGCTTTGGAATGGCGTTGGGTGTCTGTATGTGGCCCTCCAGTCAAGCCATCGCGTCGTGACACAGACAAAGACGGAACGTTTTCCCCAAACAGTGCTTGCATTTCGGGGTTTTTATCTTCAGAGCGTGAATTACCTACCCTGCTTTCGCTTCCAGGCAAAACCAAGCTATACCACGCGCCTCCTCGTCAAGCGGCCTGACCAGTACAGGCTGCAATTTGGCATCGTTTGGTATCTCTTGGAAGCGAGGGTGGTCAAAAGCGAGGCGAGCGATTTCCCCCTATATCTGCCCTCTCAGGAACCGGGCATGGCTGGCGGTCTGGCCGGCTGCCGGCTTGTCGTTGCGTGTCGCGCCGCCCGTCGCACCGCCGCCCTGTCGGGCCTGGCTCGCGGTCCGGCCGGCTTCGCGCTGCCCGTCGCTGCTCGTCGCCTAGAGATGGACACCAACACCAATATCGGCGGTGTGCTTCCACCCAGGGAAGATGTTCACGATCTCGGCTGGTAGTACTCGGGCCGAAACATGTATTACTGGCACCAGGACCTAGGATCGTCTTCCCCCGGTGGAGGCACCCCTTTGTGTTGGTGTTGGCGCCCACTTCCAGGCCTCCAACAAAAACGACGGGGGTATGTCTACTGATATGTTTAGCCTCCAGGGGTCCTCGCTCGGCCCAAGGACCAACAGCAAAACGACTCGGGATGAAACCCAGGGAATGAGTCGAGACATTTGGGGAGCGACGTTGTGAGAATTCGGGTCCCATGTCATGTCTCAGTGCAAAAAAATGGTATCGATACCTCTACCCCTGCCTCGCTTTCGCCCGTCTGGGCCTCCTGGAAGACCCTTGCCGCAACGGCTGGACGCAGCTCGAAACACTGGCGCGCTGGGACCCCGGCAGGGCTTCGGCGACCGATTTTGAACGGATTTGGCGCCACGCCCCCCCCTCTTCGCAGATCTCCTCGGGGCCCGTCCAGCGCAGACCCCTTGGCAGCCTCCAGTTCAGGACGTGCCAACACCTCCCAGGCAGGCCTGGGAGGAGGACCGCTCGCCCCCGAGCGTCCTGGAATGCTCTCTGAGCTTGCCGGATCGCTCTATAAAGCTCGGAGGTTGATAGACCTCCTACCCTGACACGTCGATTAGTGAATTGGCCGTTTTCGGTTCGCGAGAGGGCGTCGCGGCCGTTATTTTGCGGGTCCAGGTCCGTCGGCTTCGGTCCCAGGCCGTTTTCACTAAAGGGAGGTTTACTGAAGGGAGGTTTGTCCACCGCCGAAAAGCGGCCGCGGGGCTGGATGCTCTCTCCGGCCCCGCCGGCTCTGCGAGCTGCTCGCGTCAGGCGGAGCACGGGCATCGGGCCTCGGCCCACCCTGCACGCTCCAGGGGCAGTGCGCCGCGCGCGTCGCCCGCGGGTCGGCCTGCCTCTTCGCACTGCCGGCCGCGCGCTCGTTTTTCGCGCCCCTTCCTCGGCACCGCCCCATCAGACTTAGATCAAGGGAGGAAAAACCACCCGGACCGGACAACTGGCGTTTCCTAAGCGACCCTGAGCGTTTACGAAGCCGCCCTGCCCTGTGCGACTCCTTCTTGGGGCGCGTTTGCGAAACGACTTCGCCTGTCGGGGTGGTTATTATGGGGGGGGATTTTCTGACTTCTACTATAATGTGTGTCTGCGCTGGTCACGGACGGGCGACGCGCGCGTTCCGGAGTCCCTCAGCAGAAGCTCCGTGGGGGGTGGGGCGCTTTCTGCCCACACCGCTCGGGGGACTGCATGCCACAAGACGTTGTGCTGCATGGCCGGTTCGTACGTGCGCCTCCACAGAGAGGCGCGTCGTACCAGCATGTCCTTACGTCACAACCCGCCGAACCACCCCAACCCAACCCGAAGGCCTCAGTTGGCCCTCCATTTCCAGTGGGGGGGGGGTTCGAGGAGCATTGAAAAAACAAATATGGAACCCGTACCCCCCCCCCCAAAACCCGAAAGACGGGTCTTCGGGTTGGGGTTGGGGTGGTTTGGTAGGCAGTTCCTACGCGTCCCGCTCCCTCCTCCGCATGAGGAGGACGACGGCGAAAACGACAATCGTGGAGTCCGTGGAGGAGGGGTAGGGGGAGGCGGCGGAGGAGGAGGAGGAGGAGAGGAGAGGAGGAGGGAGGAGGCGGAGAGGAGGAGGAGGAGGAGGAGGGAGGAGGAGGAGGAGGAAGAGGCGAGGCGGCGGAGGAGAGGCGGAGCGGAGGCGAGCCGGAGAGGAGGAGGAGGAGGAGGAGGGGAGAGGAGGAGGAGGGAGGAGGAGGAGGAGGAGGAGGAGGGAGGCGGAGGAGGCGGAGGATGCGGAGGAGGAGAGGAGGAGGAGGAGGAGGAGAGGAGAGGAGGAGAGGATAGAGGAGGAGGAGGAGGAGGAGGAGGAGGAGGAGGGGGAGGGGGAGGGGAGGGGAGGGGAGGGGGAGGGGGAGGGGGAGGGGGGGGGGGAGAGGAGGAGGAGGAGGAGGAGGAGGAGGAGGAGGAGGAGGAGGGGAGAGGAGAGGAGGAGGAGGAGGAGAGGAGAGGAGAGGAGGAGGAGAGGAGGAGGAGGAGGGGGAGGACGGGGAGGAGGAGGAGGCGAGGAGAGGGGAGAGGAGAGGGAGGAGGAGGAGGTGGAGAGGGGAGGAGGAGAGGGGAGAGGGAGGAGGAGGAGAGGAGGAGGAGGGAGGAGGAGGAGGACGAGGGGAGGCGGAGGAGGAGAGGAGGAGGGGAGGAGGGAGGAGGAGGAGGGGGAGAGGAGAGAGGAAGAGAGGAGAA